GTGCACATGTTGCACGAACCGCTTCATTTGAACCAGGCAGAGTAGTGCGGCACTGCTGGATAGCCGCTGGCGCTGATAGACAGGCCACGGCCGTTAATGCAGTGCCATTGGATGTAGCTCTGTTCAAAAGACGCCTTGGTTCATCTGCCTTGGTTCATCTTAGATCTGCATCCGAAAAGAAATAGGTGCGGAACAAGTCAATTCAACTGGAGTCCGGAGTTGATGCTTGGGAGTTCAAAGTCAAACCAGTGATTGCCGCCCAGCTTCTTTTGCCTCTCGCCGCAGCAGTGCACACTCCTCCCCATGTGCGACGGAAACTATGAGGCTCGAAACACATCTGCTTGTGTGGCTCGAGTCATACACCAAAGAGGATCGCTGTCAATGAATGCGACAGCATCACTCAGGGAACTGCTGCTGTTGACTCACTTCAGATATTCAAATCTACTGCATTGGAAACAAAGGCATAATGCTAGCAGTACTTGAAACCAAGTCATTGTATCAGCAAAACCGCATCAGCGGAAGCGGATCGTCGTGGCCAGCCGCTGCTGACCGCTATCCTAAGTCTCTGAGTGCTTCGGCGAGGCACACTGCATGCGCTTGTGCTGCTCAGTGGCTGCGCCAAAGCAAAGTTCTCTGAGACGAATTACTGGCGCATTGCTCCAAAGGACTTACGTTGGCCAGCTCAAAAAGGAATACTGAATACTCACTATTTCCACTAGCGCAGTTGCACCATAGTTGACTCAAAGAGTGCCAGAATAGGAATAGCAAATCAGAGTGTTGGCAAGTCGGACTTCAAACAATGAAATCAAATAGACTAAAAGGCTATCAATGATATGACATCGATACGATGTGGCACCCTTCCAGTCATCTTTGCCTTGTGGCCTAGCGATACTGAGGGATCTCTTCAAACAATAAAGTGACTTTGTGTTGAAAACACCCTGTGCTGGTGCAGTTTTCTGAAAAGAAGGAGCAGGGCCCGCGCACATTGACATTGAAGGAGGTGCTCTCAGGTTTCAACTGTCAACTTCAACGCCTCCGAAGCAGCAACGGCATTCCGACATGAGGGAATTGCCGAAATCCGTGCAATCATGTATCAATATATATATATATATAGACTTTCGAGCTTACAGCGAAAACACGTCTGCCACCATTCAGCAAAGCAATAAGACAAGCGAATGGGACTAGTGATGTCAATGGTCTTGGCCCAGTGGAGAGAAGTTCCGCGCTTCTCCGTCGCTGGATGCCTCCAAATGGGACACCAAGCGCTCCAGCTCTCCACCATCGCGGCCGGGTACATAGCGGATTGTGAGCTTTCCACGGCCTCACACGGAGTCAAGTCCGGAGCAACATAATCGAAAAATTGGGCTAGCATAGACCGCAGCGCCCTCCAGCCGCGCCAGCGCACGACCAAAACGCGTCGCAGCAGCAATGTCGGGCGGCCCTGCAGCGGCACCAGCACCCAACCTCCAAAGCGCACACAGCCACACATCTGGCAGCAGCGCCCTGCAGCGGCACCCCGCAACGGGACCAGCACAAGCTGGAACACACACGCAGCTCTTCTTATACTTGAAGTGAGAGCCCCAATAGCTCACGCTGCCTCGGAAGTAAAACTGGTGCTTTAAATCCACCCGCACCGAAGGTGCCGAGGCGTTGTGGATGTTTCGCATTAGCCGCAAAGGATGCTGCCGGATTCTAAATCCTAAGCTTTCGCTTGGGGGGTATGGAAGTGCTGTGCTTTGCAATGCTTTTTGAAGATTGATAAAAGTTGATATTAGGCTTCGGACCAAACGTTTGCGATGCCAGATATGCAGACCGGGGCAGCTGCATTATTGACATCGTGAGTGTGTTCGTCCGTGTGTCCTGCCCGACTGAGACAGACAAACTGACAGACCGAGACAAACAGACCGAGACAGACAGACAGAGACTGACAGACCGAGACAGACAGACGCACACACTCCGTGTGGGCGGCTTCGAGCGCGAAGCGCTGTGAATATATACATGCATATATGGCAAGAAAATGGTAAGAAGCCACCCTCTTCGTTTCACAGTCGGAAGAACTCCGTTTCAACCTCTGGAGGCATGTCCTTTGACACCGGCCTTTGCAGAGATTACGCACAGGATCCATGTCCGCCTCATCAGGGCAGCCGTGTGAATGGAGCCATCAAAAGGGCTCCAAGGGCAGTATGCGAAGTGAGAAGCAGGAAGAGAACAAGAAGAGGAGAATTCCTGAAACATCTTGAAACACTTGGTCCTGAAGCCCACCTTGCACTTGACAAACTGCAGCTCGAAACCGGAGCAAAGCTTTCGAAGCTTTTCCTGCGTGGTGAAATTGAAGAAAAAGACACATCACTTCATGCACCATTTGCACCATGTGCTTGCCGCACAACAAATGTCCGCGAGAAAGACACCTCGGATGTCTTGGGATTACCACAAATATGAAGCAAGTGAAACTTTAATGTTTGGTTTCTTTGTTATTAGCCTGCCCTTACTTAATTAAGTAGGCCCCTACCTATATAATTGAGTAAGGAGGTAAGCTACTACCAATAGGACGCTCTTAGCTAGGATCAGGACAGCTCACGTTTCTTCAAGGAAGCGCCCCAAACGCCCCACGCTTGAGGGCGTGGGGAGCTTCCTTGAAGGAGCGCGCACTGATGATTTCGTTCCTAGATGTTTGGGGAAACTTCACTCGAAGCCAAAAGACACGAATGGAGCCCCTTTTCCTCTGTGCTCCCTCTCGTTCCTCGATCTTCGAGGTCTATGGTACAGAGTCTTCCTGGCACCACGGTTTGTACGAGCGCCTTCAAACGAAAGTGTTTTGGCCGAGAGGCCACCGAGCCACGCTGCGCCGCAGAGGCGCCATGCCCTATGTTTCAGCATCGAACAAAACATCATGCCATTAAAATGGCCTGAACAGGCCTGAACTTGATTTGGTTCAGCTTTGAAAGTTTGTGATGTGTGAAAGAATTGGGACCATTTCATCTGATTTTGGACAACTTTCCTCTTCGGAGTACGACCTAGCACTCAACGTATGATCTTCTGCAGTTCCCATGTGTCCTTGAAACTGCACCAAAACACTTTTCATGAGACTGCAACCATTCTGCACTTGTGGAATGCAAAATGGAATGAGGGCATTAGCTCAACTCCGCAAAGCTCCTTGAGTTTCCTTGACACTGGTCATGGTCTCTCTGTTTTCTTGATGGCAAGTGTCTCCAGGTCAAGCCTGGACCAAGGAAGCTCAGCTCAGCTCCACCCGAAGCTATGCAGGAAGCTGAAGCACTTTGCTATCCGAGGTCAGCCTGACAGCGGCAGAATCTCTGAGAAGCTGATCACAACTGAAAAACCTAAGAAAATGGATGGAAGACTGGATGGAGCGATGGCCTCCCCCCCTCATAGCAATGGCCTCCAACCTACTCCCCCCTCATAGCAATGGCCTCAACCTACTAGCGATGGCCTCCAACCTAAGAAAATGGATGGAAGACTGGATGGATGCTAACATCAAATCCTTCCAAGTGGGATCCTGCTCCCAGAAATCACAGGATGGATGAGTGGATGATAGCGGTTGTTCCCAACCATGCGATCGATCGAATGACAACCCAAACGGATTGGCCCTCGCGACTCGACTCGCTCTTTTTTCATTCTTCGATGCTAAGCTCTTCGACGGGGGCCGCGGGAAGAGGTGCTGGCGCAGGCGGCGCTGGAGGCTTGGCCACACCAGCCTTAAACCAAGTGACCTGAGGACGACAACAAGATCTCGGGCGAAATAAGCAGCGGTTGAGCTGAGTTGAAAAGCCAAAGAGTTTTACACGTTTTGCCAAGCTTGTGCACTTCCTCGTTGTCGGTTGCGCTGGGCGAGCGACTGACATGCATTTGGCCTCGCCAGGAGGTATGAAGACCTCCACTCGGAAGGTCGTCCTGGACTTCGACATGTCACTTGAAGGCGTCTGTTTAAAGCCAGAGCTGTCTACCAGCTGGCCTACCCAGCTCCTCTCCCAGCTTGCTCCATCCCTCTCTTTTGTTCTTTTCATGAAGCATCCGTTAGCTCTACCCAGAGTCCAATTGCCCATGCCCGCCATGCCTGGGCTTTCCCTGGCGAGAAAGCACATTCGAGTTTATGTCAGGCTGGAAAAGAAGAAAAAGTATACAGACCCCCAAACAGATGGCACTAAAAGTCTATTTGAACCGTGTCTATCAGTCTATCTATTTGGGGGTCACTGTGCTCTCTTGAATATGTCACTGTCATCATCCAAAAAGGCAAGGCAAGGCAAGACCAAGAAATGGAGAGAGATGGATCCGCAACAGGATGATAATTGGGTGGATGGTTCAAAAGACTGGTTCACAGACCCTCAATCAATCAGTCACACAGCAACATCCTCAGCAGACATCCTCCCTGCATTGTTTGCTGTCATCATGCTTTGCAGGGAGCACACTATGCAGGATCGATGCAGAGCCGAGGTGGGCACGAGAGCGTTTCATGGACGCTTGAAAAATAGTATCAAAAAACTGTTTTTACCCTTGGGTCTATGAAACCTTCGATGATCTCTTTTGGCAATCTTCTCATGAACACAGTTCAATTTTTTACTCCCATCAAGATGCAAGATGTGAGAGACATCCTTGTCCCACATCAAAGACATCCTGTCAACACTTCCAAAAACTTGGCCCATCGTGCCTTCACCAGCCAGGCCAACTCACGGTTGTTCACATCCCTTGGTCCAACCACATGGCTACATCTGCTGCTGCATTTCGCTTCCAATGGGTGAAGTACCTCACAAGCTTCGCATGTCTCACCGTCGAATCATTCTCATCGCTTGCAACCGGGCCTGAGATAGCAGGCCATCCACAAGGACCTGGAATGCCACCGAGCTCAAGAATCGATTCTTTGAGAGAAATAGATAGAAAGCTGTTGGAAGAGAAGCTGAAAAAAAGGAATCAAAAGGTTCTTGAAGCTCTCTCGGATGCATTCAGTGTGCCTGGAAGGTCTCTTCTTCTTGGCCAAGTGTAAGCTCGTAGCTGAAGAGCCCGGGTCGCTCCCTCAGAATGTCTCCGCTCCTTTTTCTGCCCTCAACAAAACCTCTCTTCAAAAACCAAAACCTGATCACGTCGTAAAGAGAAACACACCTACTCCACTCGCTTCACCGGCCTGGCCATCATTGTCTCGGGCATCCAATCTGGGCAAGTGCAGATCAGTCTCTTCGGTCAGACAGCCGACTCAACACGATACTTTCGGATTCTCTGCTTCTTGGCTTCAATCAATTTGTCATCCTTCAGGTCTGGTTTTTTCACCAGAACATAGTAGAACACCTCTCATCTGTCACAATCTGCCCAGCTGCTGTTGAAGGATCCCATGATGGACATTGCGCTGACCCCTCTCGGCTTGATCGGCACCACTTCGTGCCAGTGGGTTCCTGAGTGGAAGGGTGGCCACTGACGTGAGGATCAGATCCAAGTGGTCCGAAGGCTGAAGGCTTCGGCCTTTGTCTTTCAATCCTTAACTACGGGGCCATGGTGAACAGCTGTTTTTTCAGAGGCCGGTGGTGCCAATCACCATGTAGAGACGCATCGAAGCTGGTGGATGAAGCATCGTTTTGTACCTGAACACATCCACCATCCACCGAGCCAATAGAGCCCAGCCGCGGCCCTGCATGACTTCTACCTCAAGTCACAGGAGTTCGGACTCGATGCATCGCTCGGCGGCCAAACGAATATACCTCTCTCTCCTTCCCAAACTCTAGACAGCTCATTCGTTGAAAAAGCACAAAGAAGAAAACACTCGGTGCTCGGGGGAAGTTCCATGGAGTTCCTGAAAACGAGTTGACTCGGTGTGCGCCTGACCACAAGTAATCCACTACAAATACTAGCACTTTGAATGACTGAGTTCGAAGTGAGGCTTCAAGCTGCAAGCTCCAAAAAATCCCAGGGTGCAAGCATAAACTCAGATAGAAACACTTCAAAACAGTGGAGACATTTGACCAGGTCCAATCTTTCAACCAAGCTTGAAGCTGTCAGGATCTTCAGGCGTCCTAGTCACTTCAAAGGATGCCCCGGGCTTCATCGACAGGTGTGGTAGGCCACTCGTCTGCCAGTCCTCGTAGTTCTCCCCGACCTAGGAAAACCATAACGTCGGGACACGAAATACAATCGAAACACCCCATGGATTTAATCCAGAATGTACTTCATCTACTATCTACTGTCTAGATCTGTCTACCGTTGATCATGTCCGAAGTGTGGTTCCAAATGACTCAACCAAGTGCAAAAGTCCGACCATTTCTTCTGTTCATGTCACGTCTTTTCCTTAGTGAATCATCGATGGCATCAAATAGAAAACCTCGCTGAGGAGCCATGTTGATCTCTGGCGTAGCTAAGCGCACCTGCTGGAGCATGGCTTGTTCCTTGGTGCGACTCGCAAGAGAACGCTCAGCACCTTTGGATCCTTTGAACCGTGCCAACCGGTTGGAGAAGCTCTGTTGGAAGCATCTGGGGGACCCGAGGAAAGCCAGAAGCACTCAGCATGCTCCAATGTTGGAACCAGCTGCAGAGCGCTTCTTGTTGTCACCACGAGAGGTCACTACCTGAGCAGTGCTTCTGTCAGCAGAATCAACTGGAAGTCTTCTCCAAATAAGGCCCCGTTTGAGGAAGCCCTGGCAACTTCTCTTTTTCTCCTCTTTAGCTGAATTTTTGGGGACAAGGTTCAGCGCATAATCCCAGTGTCCAAGATGCGTTGTGCCCGAAGGCCAAGGCATGACTGTTGGTGCCACCATAGCCAAAGCCACTAACACCCACCTGAGCAGTGAACCCATCGGACCATCGCCAGGAATTCAAGCCGTTCCTATTGAACCAGGAAGTGTCATATGTAACCCCCGCTACGGAGGTCTTCGGCATGTGCGTTTGGTCTGGACAGCTTCAGAGACTGCTTTTTGAAGGCCAGGGCACACCCTGCTGTCTTTCTTGTGTCAACACAAACAGAGGAACCATCACACCAAGCGGAGAAGAACCCTTTTGCTAAGGCATCAGCATAAGAGCCATCGGATTTCAGGGGCGCCGCTTCTTGCAGCAGGAAGGCAGGCCAACCTCAAATGGACAGCGAGCTCTGCAACGGGAAAATGGATAGTTTGCCAGACATTGACATAGACAACTGCCTTGGCATTGTTGCACAGCTTTGCATCATCGACATGCATATGAGAGACAACGATAGAACATCAATTCTTGTAGGAATTGCCATCACTTGTCACATGCATCGTGTGCTTTCGCTGGCGTACAACCTCTCATCAACATCCTTGCATAAGAGTCACCTTCAATGTCCATGTTTGGATTCTGCACTCTCAGATGCTGGTTCCCGGCAGCTTCAGCATGCATGCAGGCAAGAACACACCTCAAACCACGAGCCATACGACACACACACACACACGAGATGTTGGATTCACCACAAGCCGCGGATCATCGTCTTAGATCCTCGCTTGCAGAACGCCGACATTCCGGCTCCACCCTCCAGATGTCCCAGATTGGGCTTGGAGCAGGAAACCATCACCTGCACGGTGTGGGCGGCATGGGCTTGGCCAGAGGTTGGAAAAGCTGAAATCCGCCACAAAAAACGCTGAGTGCAGCCGAGTTTCAGGATGCTCGCGCTGCGTGAGCACCTCGGAAGGATCGTTGGGCTGGAGTTAGCTAGATGGGCTTCAGGCGAAAATGTCGTTTTCTCCGAAGCTCAAGGGCTACAGCTGTCAATGACTATATCCAGCTGAGATTAAAGAGACTTGTTTCAAGTCTGCTCTTTCTACCAACCTATCTGGAACGCGTTTTCCTGCAAAAGAAAGAACTACAGTACTACAGTATATAGACCCTCCTGTGAGCCGCTCTAGCTGCTCCACAAAAAGTCGGGTGGACCCCAAGCGCACCGCACCTTGCGCACGGCAGAAATCTCAATGGGATCTCCCAAGGAGGTGCCAGTTCCATGGGCTTCGTAGATGTCCAGTTGTGTGGACTGCAAGCGTGCCTGGAGATTGGTCCACCAACCAAAAAGTTGGCAAGATCTTGCCGCAGTCCACTTCGGTGGTCGTTTTTGGGGTGCCCGTCAAGAAGGAAACTCTAAGGAAACCTCAAAGCCCAATGGCTTCCCCAAGTCCTCTGGAAAAGTTGAACTGAAACCTCAAAGCCACTCTCAGGATTTGTCACCCTGATGTTGGAATTCCCCACTTGCAACCTCAGCGGCAAAAAGAAACAGGTCTCCAAAGGATTCAATGCCCGGAGTCCATGTTCAGCGTTGTTTGCTTCAAGGTATGGACCCTCAAGGAAGTTACTACAAGCTTTGATCACGGTTTTGGCGACAATCACATCATGCCACAAATCAGGAGACTCTGACTTCCAAACGCCTATCTATTCATTTTAAGTCAAACAAGAAAACTGAAGTTAGTCACTTGCTTTTCAGATTTCTCTATCCACATCTAGAAAAATGTCTCTCACCCCTCCCATGGCAAATGACACGCATTCGTCACCCGGCCTCCCCAAGAACTGCTCGCAGCAGCCGCTGCTGCGCCGGGCCGTTGGGCGCGGTGAGGCTCGCGGAGCGGCCATCCGAGTTGGTGTGGCCTGGACACGCCGTTGGAGCCCGTCCGGATGGTGAAGTAGAGAAGGTCCAGAAAAAGGTGTACCTAACTATGCCTAACCAGAATTCATGCCTAACTGCCTCACTTATCTTGATTTATACATGGACAGCATGGACATGTTTCTTATGGCCCCTTGTCAGGCCGCTCCATACCTGAAGCTTCAAGTCTTGCAGCAAAGATGCTGGCTGCAAGGGAGCCGCAGGTGGTGTCATCATCCCTGTTGTACCTGGGGCACGATGCAGAAACTCAATATCTTGACAATCTCTGTATGTATCTTGCCTGTAACTCTGCAGTGGATTCTTTCCTTGATAATTTGTCAGTGAACACAACAAATGAGTGAGTGCTCCATAAGGTCGGCATGAAAAATTCCACAGAAGTCAAATCAGGAAACCCGAGTGCAACTCCTTCCATCCTTGACCAGCCCTGCAAAGTCCTCTCTTCACTGTCACGTTGCTTGCCCCGCTCGATCACAGCCGCAGCGCAGCCTTCGCCCCGCCCGTAGCCGTCCGCAGTGGCGTTGAAGCTGAAGCAACGGCCACGGAAGGAAAGCATCGCTCCTGACCATCCAAAGGAATATCAAAGGAAAAGAAACCTCGGGACTACAAACAAAATTGAACAAGCAAATCTAGTAAATCCCAGCACTTGCAAAGTGTAGAATAAGATTTGCCAGCCCACGCGGTTTGCGCCTGCGCAATTCCCAATCCAAGTCCCAGGAGACACGTTCAGACCTGACAGCTGCCACACAAAGGTCGCTTATTCCCCCGCAAAAGGCATGTACTGTATGTGGTTTTCCAAAACTCATGGCTGAGGTGCTGATGCCCGCCACGAGGCATCCATCCAGCGGATCCTGTGGAGAAGTGACCAAACTTAGCAAGCAACTATCGGAAAGCTGTGAGCACACTCTTTTACATGCATACATTCACAAACTAGAAGGACTGGACGGTCTTGCCGTCTATCCCGAACGAAACAGCTAGTCTCTCGACCTCTCCTGCGGCATGAGCAAATGCGTCTTTGCATTATGTAGTGCCACCAAGGAGGCGGAGCAAGCGGTGTTGACAATGAAGCTAGGACCCTTCAAATTGATCACATAGCTGAATCGATTCCTGAGTCGTTTGCCGTAGAGGGGGTTGTTCGATTCTGTGAAGCCAGAGCCTGAAATGCTTGTACACTGGAGGTGTATTAGGGAGATGCTCCAACCACTGGGTTTTGACGTGTCCTCTTCCGGTGGATTTTGGGATCGACCTACGATGTCTTCGCCGTCTACGATGTCTTCGCCAAATCCAAGGGTCGCAATGAATGTCTCCGGCACACCATTAGCTGATGGTGCTCGACACACATCCCGCCAATCCTCAACAGCACCAAGCACTGCCAGCACACTGCCAGCATCTGCCAGCCACACAGCAACAAGAAACCGTCAGGATCGTCATGGGCATCGTTGCCGCCCAGGCGCAGAGCCACTGATTCCGACGAAGACCCCCAAGTGGGCGGAGTCGATCCGCACCTCGCGGAAGCAAAGCGTGTCTCAACGGAACCAAGGGCTGTGTTTCCTTAAAAAAACGCCCAGGAAGGGCTAAATAAAGTACTTGAGGTTGAAACGCTGAAGTAAGACAATCTTTAGAGATTGAAAGAAAGAAAGAGCCAAACAGACAGACCGACGGAGGGACGGACCCACGGACGGACAGAAAGAAAGAAAGAAAGAAACAAACAAACAAAGCAGCAAAACATTGGTTAGACCCTGTTTGGACACACACGCAATAAGATCACCTGCTCTCGCTTGTAGCCGGCATCTGCCAGCGCCATCCAGCCTACCGTCAAAACGAAGGCTAGCAAGCAAGGAGTTAAGACAATCAGCAAACCTAATCCAACCTTCGCTGATCAAGCAGCCAACTTGTGACCAAATTCTATGTTTTGTTGTGTGCATGTATGACTTAGCCTGACTTAGCAGGATCCTCTCGTTCCGGCCTGTTTCCATGAATATCCTCTGCTCGGGATCCATGCCTCTAACCTCCTGGCGGACAATGCAAGCAATCAACCTGGACTCAGAGTGTTGGTGCAGGACTGCCAATCTTCGGCATGGATAAAAACATATCTTGTATCTCCCGAAGACAGACAAAGATCTTGCATTCCCTCTCCTGCTCCATGATGTTGAAGAATGAGGCATCAAAGATCTCGATTCCTTCAATGTGGCCTGGAAGGAACGGCTGAACACATCATGCAACGTGAGGCTGGAAAACTCAACACTGAGATAGGTTCCAATGCCGCGTGGAAAACACATATATACAAACAAATAGATGTGCCAGCAGTCTTCTGCTTCTTGGAGGCCCCTCCTTGATGACGGCAGTAGCTCTTGAAACTACTCATTGCCCGCTGTTGATCCTTCGCCAAGCTGCATGCTCATATTTAAAAAGGAAAAACTTTCCTGCAGAAATCCATCCGATCACTCCCATGGTCCAAATGGCTCCTCATAGTCCACGTATTGATCGATGTCAAACCTGGCCAAACGACAAAATATGATGGCGCTCTTGGCTTGACATTCGGGTCATTCACCTTCAATGAAGTCAAACGAAAGAGTTGAAAAAAAAAGAAAAAGAAAAGGCAATCGCTTCTAGGTTGGAGGCCATCGCTATTAGGTTGGAGGCCATCGCTATTAGTCCTGTTTTCTACTATAGGCTAGTCCTGAATTGTTGCTTTCCTTCGAAGACACCGAAGCCAAATCCCTTAGGCCTGGTCTTTGGGATCTCAAGGAAGCCGTCACAGCCGCCATGTCGAACAGCGGCCCAAAGCTTCTCGTGCAGGTCCGCCTGGAGGTCGTGGAGGTCGGGAACTACGTCACAAAAGTGACCTGTGGTTGTTGGGGTGTTTGCAACCACCCAACTGCAGTAGTTTCGAGGGGCTACAAATGCTTGACCCATAGATCAAATCTGATGCGTCCAAAGATCAAATCTTGATCGTTAGTTATAATCGCGGGCATGCTTTAAGGATTCAAGAAGGCTTTGCAGCGCAATTCTTTCTAGCTCATCAAGTCCATTGAAACATTGAGAACCGTGTGCCCTTGGCCCTTGACTACAACGGTCAACGGTTCGGCGCACCTCACAAGGATCGCGTGAAGCCATGCCTGAAGCGCTGGGCGACCCATGCTTGTGATGCTCTCAAAAGGAATTGAATAAACGTGATGCTCTCAATCCTCCGCATCTTTCGGCATCTCCTAGCCCACAACCCTCACTGCTGAAGGAATCCATCCTCGGCCGCCTTACCCGTGGCCTTTCACCAAGACCTGCTGACCCTTGGGCGTCTTCGTCACCGGCGTGGTCAAGGCTGACGAGAAGCGGCCCTCAGCCTCACGGGTCTCCAGGTCTTCAGCGAACAAACGAGCGCCGCTTTGCGGTGTAGGAAGGAACTCAGGTGTCGGAAGATTCTTTGCCTAATTTCTTCGTCTCGCGTTAGAGCTTCCTTGGATGCTTTGCAATGTAGTGAGATCCAAGGTTGTCGAGCTGCGGCTTCCGCAGCTCCTTCATTCATCTCCCCTCCTCCTTCAGATCCTCTCTCATGTGTCACATGCGTTGTCAGGTGACACGGTACCGAAGACGGTCGATCCCCTGCAGGGCCTTCTGGAAGACCAACTGCAAAGGCTCCTCCAGGAAGAAGCTCTGCAAGACCAAACCTGAGGACGCCAAAAAAAGAAAAGTTAAAAAAAAAAAAAAAAAACGGATCTCAATCACATAGTCGCAGAGTACCCGACCATCTTTTCATAGTCATGATATGCCATGATCTAATCAAGGCAGCTGGACAGCTGCGAAAGACCATTACAGCATCTGTTTGCTTTTTGGATCCACTTCTGTATGATTGGGATTGATTCTCTAAATTTATATAAATTAGTCCACTACCAATAGAAACTGGGCCTGTGTATGTTTTAAGTGGAGACCAAGGTCTAACAACCGCAATGTCATCACATCAACCTTTGAGGTGCCGGGATTGCAAGATGCAGGAGGGGCAGGAGCACAACATAGCACAACCCATGAAGAGATTAACGTAGCCGAGACGCACTCTCCTTCTGAGTCGAACTGATAATCGTACCTATGTCGAACCAAGCTCGAACCAGGCATCCAATGGAGGAAAGCAAATCAAAAGGAAAAGGAGGAGAAAGGCCTGTTGACGAAAATAGCTGCTTTCAAAAGAGAAACTTAACAGTCACAAAGTCTTTGCTAGCTGAGGTGCTGCTGGGTGAGGAAAACTACTTGCATGTTGATGCACACATCCATCGTGACCTGCACCAGGCTTGCCATTTAGCTGAAATTAACCTGAATAAAGACATCACAAACTCTGCAGTGTCCCTCTGACAATCATTTGACTCCGATTCACAACATGGCCATACCGGAACCTGGTACCACCTCTTGCACAAGGCATTTCGGTCTGCCTCTGCTTCATCCTTCCGAGGGATGAGTCGCAAAGTTCCACCACCCGGCCCCAAGAAGCGCAAGAGGCACAGGCGCTTACGGCCCATGAGCGCAAGGAAAGCTTCCTGGGCCAAACCAAGATTCCAGCGAATGCGAACCAAACAGGTCGCTTGCCAAACACATATCGTTTCCTTTCTCTCTGGTGGGCTCTCTCCCTATCTCTCTCAGAACCTGAAAGAAAGTCAAACATAGGGGCTCAGTCATTGTCAGCATTTGGTTTGTTGCTAGCGCTGACTCTGATTTTCGTCCTACGATCCGACGAGTCGAGTCTCCGAGACTCTCCCCTGGGCGAATTTTGACGACGGTCGACTATGCGACATCAGGGCCTCTTTGGTGATTGTGATTGGAAGAAAGATGAGGAACACCTTCCTTCACTCGCCTTGTTTCCTGTTGGTGCTTCCCTTGGATGATTTCCAAGATGGGCGGGCGCATTAGGGTCCAAAACTTGTTTGCGGACAAGTGTTGTCCCTTTGCCAAACAATGCGGCTTTCAAATGCAGGACCCTTTCGAAGTGCCATGAGAGCATACCAACACCGCAATATGTCGGCATATCACAAAATTTGCACATATGTGGGCATGACAACGCCGAAACAAGCAAGTACCAGAAAACCTGCTCCGGAACCTGCTCTGGAACCTGCCAGCAAGTCAGCACAACAGCAAGACCTCACTTCAGCATCTCAGCATGACAACGTGTCAGCATGTTAGCATGTCAGCATGACAACATGTTAGCGTGACAGCCTGACAACATGTTGGCGTGACACCACACCAGCATATCAGCCAAAATGAGTCACGTCAGCATGTCTACACCTCCACCTGGCAGCAACACCTCAGTGTGTCAGCAACACAACATGTTAGCAGGTAGGCAAAAAAACGCATGTAGCCTGGCAGCCTGAGGGCATGATAACATGTCAGCGTGACAACATACAAGCATGATGACATGTCAGCACTACATGCATGACAATGTCAGCACAATGGCATGTAAGTGCTCCGGAACTTGCTCCGCAATTTTCACCGGAACCTGCTCGGGAAGCTCCGGTACCTCCTCCGGAACCTGCTCCAGAACCGGCTCCCGAATTTGCATGAACATCCTCCGGAAACTGTTCCCGAAAATTGCTCTAAAATCTGTCTGCTACGAAGTCTTTACTTTGGCTGAAGACCCCTAAGCTTGGCTGTTGGTGAAAGAAAAGAATTGTTGCCAGTTGCCACCTCGCTGAACCGAGCCACCGCCTCTGCGGCACTCGGCGGCTCCGCAGGCTCCGGCTCCTCCGACGCAGCTCCACCGCTCAGGCGGAGCAGCAGGGTGGTGCCTTCAGCGCAGGACACTGAGTTAGGCCAAACATCCACCATCCAAACCAAACAAACCACCTCCGACCATAGAGCTCATACATCCTCCAACAGATCTGGCCAGATCCGTCCATGAGAGGTCATGCATTCCCTCTACAGCAACCCCTGGGTCACAGCTCGGATGCTAGGAAGGATTACAGTAACCTGTTCTGTCCAGCAACGGCTGGAGAGCCGGAAGCCGAAGGTCTCCAACAAGCCCAATCGCGTGAGGCGTAAATGCTCGGCCACCTCAGACATTTGCAGAATCAAAACACTCTTAAGACTTGCATGACACTACAAGTATCACCCCTTGTGGGTGCGAAAGCATGGCACAAGCAAACTCTATCTGTGCAAACCTGGTGTCCATTGTCTTCCTTGGTTTCCGGGCACTCTGCTCTTGTGCCAACAAACTCGACGCTGCAGCGGACTCCAGTGACTGGCAGGTGCGGGGCATTTTCACATGTAAGGCGTCCCTTCTAGGAGTGCATCGTGTACCACTGCTGTGGAGCTGGGATAGGTTGCGTACACTTATCCCCAAACTTCAGCCTCCAACATCGCCACCCGATCACGCGAAGAGCCGCGGCCCAAATAGCCAAGCTCAAACCTGAAACAGTCCACTGAGAAGGTCGAGAAAAAAGAGTTGCGGAAAGGTCGAAGTGTTCTTGCATGAATTCCGCTAGGGTGGATTGGGCCGGCCAGAAGATTCACTACATGGGCAAGGCTTGCAAGGGTTCTTCCTCCGGGAACAAAAAATGTATGATAAAAATATGCTTCTCTGATTACCATTGCAACCCTCCGTGATGTATATAATCCTTGTTGTCAGAATCTCCAAGTTCATTTGTTGCCAGGTCGCTCAGTTGGCAAACGGACAAAGTAGTCGTTGAGCTGCTTCACAGTGGCCAGGATTCCCGCACGAGTTCGCGCAGGGAGCATCATGTGCGTGGTGACCTAGGCGTTTCGAGATGGCCAAAAGAGGCACGGATCAATTTGGACACCAGTGGACCCAGTTTACCTTGGGATCACCATTTGAAGTGGGGTCCCATATTGGAAGTCATAGATTGACAAAGGTTTCAGGAACGATCTCTACAATCGCCACCTAGTTGTCATTGCTACGATCGCACCAGCTACGATCGCACCAGCTACGATCGCCAACTCAGAACCCCCACATAGCCCTTCTCCAGCAGCAAGTCTGGCATTTGTTTTGCCAATCCCTGACCATTGTGCAGGTCGCAGGTTGAATCGTTGAACTCAGAGAATGGTTAATGCCTTGCGGCTTATTTTGTCAAGTACTGCAAAGGCGATAACCAGCAAAACCTGACTTGGCTTCTGGGCATTGCCTCTCTTACAACAAGCACAAGGCAAACATACATAAGCTCAGTTTGATCACTCCACTTCAATCGGTCCTCGGCTGAGGAAGTTGGCCCGAGCACGAGGTCGTAGCCTTGCAGCTCATCTGCGGCTAAGAGCCTCAGTGGCATGTGGAGGACCGAAGGCATCGACACGAAGGATCTTGAGAAAGAGCTGATGGACGTGAAGCTGTCGATGTTTGCTATGGCTGTGAATTCACTGGTCAAGGTCTGGCCCCACTGCCCTGACCATGAACCTTTTTTGGACATGACATCCATGTCGCATCTGCGCCTGCAAGCTGTAGATGGCACTTGTAAAAAGTAGCCACTGAAGCTTAGCACCTTGACTGCAGGCAGATCAATTTGACAGACAAATCTACCTACAACACACCTGTCCTGCACATTGGAACCACCCAACGCAAAAGCGAGCTGCCAGTGTCAGGTGGCTTGTTGTTTCTTTGGAACTTTGGAAGTGACCTCTGTTGCCAAGTGACCAGCATTCCCAGCTCGCCTCCATTTTCAACCAGCTGTGCCTGCAGTCTGCCGCTACTCTGGGAATGGTCCACACTGCCGTACTGCCGCTACTCGGGTCGCTCGCCTGGGTTCCATTGAAGTCAAAGGCCTCCTCTTCGCCAATTGGGGTCAGCTTCTCCTGGCAACCCGTCAGGTGACCTGTGGTGAGGCAAGAAGGATGCCAAGTCTGCCTCCCATCTTCGTAAGCAAGACAAGCTGCAAGCTCTGGAGGCAGAGGTCGCACGATAGTTGCAGCTTGTGCAGTGTATTGACAGGCATAGTAGCACAGTACATAGCAGCACGTTCAATCCAGCTCACAACCGAACAGGGTTTCCAAAAACACTGGACTTCATGTTTTCCTATCTTCAGAGCCCATTCAGCACTCCTTGGCGGTCAGCAGCACAAGGGTTCCAAGAGGAGTCCCAGCATCAACATCCATCGGAACCGCCGAGCAAATCAATTGACCCAAGGCCCAAAGTTGGAGGCATAAAGTCGATAAAGCCTTGTCGACGAATGTCGATCAAGTAAAGTCTGTCTGTTGGTCGGTGCCGATGCCAAATGGTCGATGTCGAAAGGGACAATCAGTCACGATCTTGTTACAGAAATTGTGGCATTGCATGATTGGTTTCTGGGAAGGGGATGATATTCACATATGTCTGCCTATGTTTCCCCTCATCTTCCTACTGCCTGCAGCCTGGAGCCAACACAGAAAAAATTTGTCTGAACGCAGAGGGAACAAGTGTTCCTGTTTCAGCAAGCAACAAATCTCAATCACACTCATATCGACTCATATCGGCACATATCGGCTCATATGCCACCGCAGGCTGCACAGCAGGCTGCTCTCAACTGCCACTTTCAAGTCTCAGACCGCAAGTCCCTGCCTCATCGCCAAGCTCTGGCTTGCGTCGGTGTCTTTTCCTGGGCAAGAGCCGAAGATCAGGAATCCTGCGCATTCAAAACGTCGTCACGTTGCGATCAGGACTCGTTTCAAACCTTCCCCCTCATGGCACCCTCCGTTGAGGCGGGTTCAGCATCCAATCCAAAACCACTATTAGGACGTTGTTAGGTGGAGGCCATCGCAAGTAGGTTGGAGGCCTAACAAGAAGCTACTAGGTGCAGGCCATCGCTATTAGGTTGGATGCCACTACTACTAGCAACAAGAAGCTACTAGTAACAAGGGAATCCTTTCAGATCCTTTCAGATCGTGAAACCACTCCGGCGGGTCGTGCGGACTTGGGGCGACACAGACTTGGCGCGGCGCACCGGCGAGATCGTGCCATCAGCCTGGAAGAAGCTCTTCTGAGACCTTCTCTGGAGGCCTTTCTGATCCAAAAGGCTTGAAGGCTTTGGTCCCAGGATCGTGTAGGGCCAAGTTCCGGAAATCGAAAACTAAGCTTGACAATGGCGATCCTGCCTTTGGTTAACCAGTTCTTAAAGTCTTGCAAACGACTTCTATATAGCTTGACGCGGCCGGAGAGTGTGACGATTCGGCAACTGTTGCAAGCGAAAGCACGTAGCAGGATCCAGGTTTGGTCTCCAAACGACTCTCCTCAAAAGCGCAAATATCTTTGTGATAGCTTTGGAACGGTTCCAGCAGCCTGAGGCCTGTCTTGGGCAACTTTCCTGGCGAACACGCAAAGCATTGCGAAGCAAGCAGGCGAACAGGCAGAAATTGGAAAGCGGGTCTATAATTAGTTTAAATAGATTCGATTAGAGACAAACACTGGAGGGATGACAACAACGTCCTATAGATTCGCATGTTCCACCGGAAGATGTGTATGGGACTTCAAGTAGAAACGCATCAGAAATAATGTAAAAGCACCTATTGTTTCCACAATTGACAAAAGGGGCTACCCGCCAAAGCAACTCAACTAATATGCAATAGAGATGCTATGGGAATTTGGCTTTGACTTGGCAAGCGTCATCAGCTTTAGGGCGTTTTTCCAATGCTACCTGTAGCGTCACATCCTCTTCGATGTTGAAACAGTCTTGAAGCTTGAATCCATTTGAATGTCTTTATCCTCCTCTGATTCTTTCTTCCAAACTGTTCAACAAAGGCTCTGCTTCCCTCATCAAGCCCCCACGAAGCGGCCAGAGAATGGCAGACTGGGCGCCTTTCTATTCGTGCGCCCGCATAGAGAGATCGAGTTTTCAACCTTCCAGAACAGAACCATTGGAAAAATCTTTACTCGGGCTGTAGCCAAATGGTAGGAAAAATGTTGGCTATATATTCATACGATTTAAATATGTGTTTTGACATGCTTTCACCATGTGTTTTTGCTCATGAAATGTCAACGGCATCTGTCAATGACAGACACAACTTGACTCTCGCTGCTGCAGCAATAGTGCTAGAGATATATAGATTAAAAGCATTGGCAAACACGTTAAAAAGGACTGCATCGTATGGCTTACAACAGCTTCTGCGTGCCCATCGAATTCTGCCCTGCCTACCCAGCGAGCAAGTTACATCTGGCCGGCATTGAATGCGTTTTATTGTGCTGCAAAACAACAACAACAAAAATTACAGTAAAGTGCGTCTGACCTCCTGAAACAAACAATGGAAACAGGAAGATGACGTGGGTCTAGTACTGAAGATACCTCTTACTCTAAACGCTCAATGCGAGATTACTAGCCGAGACAGAACAGGTTGCAAGAGTGTGAGTTGAGCTGGTTCAGCCAATGACACGTGGCAGAAAGTGCCAACTCAATGTCAAATGAACTTGGGCGGCTTCTATACACCAAAATTGTAACTTCAATGTCAACTTGGCTGGCTGCGCACAAGTGCTAGTTATGGAGTCTTAAGGCAAATGAAACAGTTCCAACTGACAAGTCAAATATATGAATATATATATATATATAGTCACATGAGTCACATGATACAAGAATATATGTGTGTCACGTTCTTCGCACATCCATTTTGGGGTTGAGTGTTGCCCCCTTTGTCTGCGAGCCATCACCCCTCTTTAGCTACCATGGCTGCGTCAGACGAAGACGCTCCTCAGGAGGCCCCACGACCCGTCGTCGGCAAACAGGAGCTGTGGAAACAACGAAAGGAACCAGAAGGCGGCGCCCTCCTCGTTGTCTAACCGACACAGGAGTTTGTAGCCCTCCTCGTTCCAACCATCCAAGATGCCCGGCAAGAGCTCCTGGATCTCATCGAAAAAGGTGAACTTCTGCCACCCTTCCTCAAGGAGCCGGCCTATGCACCCAGGCTCCATCGGGATGCTAGGTCCCAGACTCTTCGAGCCCCAGCTCCGAGATCAGACACATCTCGTCGATCACTCGCTAACGACTAGGATATGTCCAACTATGTGTCTATTTCATCGGTTTAATCTGCCCTGGCATCGCCTTTGTGCTTGGATCCCTGATCCCTCCAAGGCCCTTCCCACACGGAGGCCTGCTTCGGACGCCTGGCCGTGGAGTCCCAACAAATGATGGCCTTCGACTCCCGACATCTTCCATTGCCATTGCATGAATAATATAGAAACAGATGGCTTTTATCAAGGAGTTTCTTATTAGATAAAAAGCAATAATAAATAATAAGAGATCATGAATAAGTTAAATGGTGTTATTCACTTAAATTGAAAGTCTCCTTTGGATCCCCATAGATCTCCAGATCTTATGAGGGGACAGCTTTTCTGAGATGGGCAGATGGGCTTACTTACCCAAGCGCCTGTGGTGTCCGCGGTGTGGTGGGCGTCTGGGGAGACGCTGTAGCTGGCGTCTCCGTCGGCAAAGAGCTTTGCAAATCACTGCCTGCAAAGAAGAACCGGAGCAAGGTCAGCAACACTTGGATGCAAAGCTGGCAGCTACCAAAGCCATGAAGAGCCTTCCGGTTGATTCATCCCCTTGGAAGGGATTCAGAAGTATTATACTGCAAAACAGGAACCATTTCACTCAAACGACTGGCCTTCAGCCTCCGGGGAGGAGTCCAAAGGTGTCTCCTCCGGATCTGCACGGTGGGCAGCTAGCCTGGCGTGATGTTCTACAAGCTGAGAGTTAACAGCAAGCATCAAAACAAAAGAAGAAGCTTGCGCGACAAATGGGGACAGGGCGAACCCCCGGAACCGCATCTTGCAAATGGATGCAAATGGATCCCTAAATTGGCCAACACGCACATCGAACGCCTCACCCCTGCAACAAATTCTAGAGAACCCGTGGCGCACCTGCTGCGAAGCAGCGGTGAGAAGTTCCAGGCTTCACCTGCAGTGATGCAGCTGCCCCAGGTCATGCGAACTGGGCATTCCAAACAGGAATTGGAAAAAGAAGCACACACAACCAACCTGCCAGCAAAGGTTCTTGGAACTGTGTGACAGAAAGATGTGCAATATGATTTCACCCGCCACATCTTTGGCCTGGCGCTGGCTTTCGATCTGGCCTGACTTCAGAAATTTCAAAAGCACTTCTGTGGAAAGGATCCTCCCGTCGAACCAGCACAAGCTGGAGGCAGCCCTGCAGCTTGTCAGTGTGTTGAACATTAGAGCAGAATATCCTCAAGCAAATTAGTGTGCATGAAATTGAAGCTTCTTGCGTTTGAATCCCTGGCAAAAGAGCGATTGTCGGCGTGCGAGACACATTGAGAGACGTTTGAGGCATGCAGCTGGATTTGGGGTTGCAGTTGCCATCGCAAGAGAGGAGCCACTGACCAGACTACAAAGAACCAAGTATGCATGTTCGATGCGAATTATCTGTCACGGTCTGTGCGTCCCGACAGCCAGAAGTTTGACAGGTCACCAACAGTACCTCAATGGACTGCCATCTGGTATGGCTCAGCAATTGCGCTTGCAATTCTCTGAGCGCAGGGCTTGGGGCAAATGCCACAGGCACTGAGGACTTAGCAGGATAAGCATGATTTTAGAGAGGGAGGGAGAAGGGCCTTGAAATGAACGAATGCTGTGACCAGGTCTTCGATGGACGCTTTTTTTCCACCACTGTCACCCTGCAGTCCCTGTCCCATTTAGTAGCTGTTGATGGTTTTGTCGTCCATCAACAGGATGAACTTGTAAGGCATGCGGGACTGCGGGACTGATAGAGTGCAAAAAGGTTCTGGCAGGCTGGGGTTCATCTGTCTTTAACTTCCTCTGTGAACGAGTTGCGTACATGATCCCCACTGAGAGCCTCACACGTCGAACCACATCTGGCCTTGGTGAAGCATTTCCGCAAGCAGGGCATCAGTTACCCTCGTCCCCTTCGAAAAAGGTCAATAATTGAATCAAAAACATCTGATCAGCATATTCCCAAGTGGAAACATGAAACATTGCCAAGGCACCTAATCCACGAGACAATGTATATATATATATATAACTTTGTTCAAAGCCATGTGAAACGATGTTCAGACCAACCACAAACCCGTGACCTAAAACTAAGGTGTGACGGAGTGCCAGGACTGGCATTGATGTCTCAAACGAAACGAGGGGCACCCCTTTCCTTGGTCAACTTCCCGAGGACTGTTTTACACAAAGTATCTTGCACAAGGGTTGCTCTGTCTGCCACCAACATCTTGAATCTTTCGCGTATGCTCCTTACCAAGCCTTTTTGGCTGGCGGATTAGCTTCTGATTGGTTTTAAGTTATTCCAGTCGACCCCAAACAGCATTTACTCGGCCTGTTTGCATTCAACAGCCATGGCATACGCAAACACAAAAATAAAGCTCGATCTGTTCAAAGGCAAAAGGATTTGTATTTTTGGATGTCATCTGTGTACTTCGACAAAAGCACGCGTTTGTTTTCAAACACATGTGGTTGCATGTCGCAAAGGGTTTGAATGTCTTTTCGAAAAGACGTGTTGCATATTTTGCCATCTGCGCAGTCTTTTCAGACACATGACATTGCTCTTCCAAAGTCACAACTGTGGCTGGTCAAAGGAATGCCCCTGCACGTACCGGCGCGCGTTCTCACAGGCATGACGGGGTGTTTCCAAAAACACAACCCTGCATGTTCCGGAGCTACCCCCTGCACGCTGTCAGAAATGCACCTGTGCCTGTTGAGCATGCAAGCCTGTGTTTTCCAAGGCACGCTAGCCGCTAGTCTTTCCACTAGCATACAACTTGCCCTTGCAAAAGCACAGCATGCTGTTGTGTGTTGCAGAAATTCATCTGCGCATTTCAAGCAATAAAAGCGCCCCTTCTCAGAAACATGATGTTGAACTTCCACATTCCAAGTTCCTTTTCAAATGTATAGTGTATTTTCAGACCAGCCTTTGGGCATTTCGACTAATGCAAACGCGTGCCCTCAAGAAAATTACATGGTCTTTCTTTGAAAGCGAAAAGGATAGAATGAAGATTCTTGGCTCTGGATGTGAAGGTTCTTGGTTCCAAATGTGCTCATGAAAACTCCATTCAGATTCCCCCTCCTGAGGTTCCCAACGCGACGCAGGGGCCCGGAGGGAGTGCTGGGCGGTTCGGGATGACTCGGGGGATGTGGGTGTGACTCCCAGACTGCTGACAATAAGGCTGACCAGTATGGAAAACCAACAAGCATCTACCCGCATTGAAAGCTCTAAAGGCTCTTTCCAAAATTCATGAAGCTTCCTCGAACAAGGCTTTTCCCTTTCCAAGATGTTGCATCAGGCAATGTCGTCCTACCTGCGCTGAACGCGATGGCCGGCGTACCATTGAGTGGCCGTGGAAGACCTGAAGTGCACGGCAGCTGTACCAGAATCATCAAATGGAACGCTGCCGGAACTCCAGGCCAAACGAACCCATCAGGACTGAACTTGACCATTAGCCTTTCCAGGCAACTGAAAACCGGTTGCGCTAAATCGGTGATTCCCGGCTTTCGCAAACAGCTCTGTCTGGGTCGCCCAGCTGAAGGGCGAAAGCGTGGGTGGCCTGCGGCCGTATCAGAGAGACATTGCACAGGAAAGACCCTAGTCTGCAGGGCCACCATTGCATTATTGCTGCTAGGTGCTATTCTGAATATCCCATAGGTTTGAGCCTCCAAGAGCCCCGGAAAACAACAGTGAAGCCAACACAGGCATAGTGAAGGCCTCTGAGCTCGTGTCAGAGGCGAGTTGATCACGCAATTGGAAGGACGGCGCACCACCTCAGCAGGGATGGGTCATCATGTCATCATCTTCAACTCCAAACACATAGAGTTGCAGAGCTGCTATCAGAACATTCTGGTTTGGGGAAAAGTTATCCCCTATACACATATGTCCTCCGCAAAACACAATCCTGTTGCCACTACGTGAAGGATGTGGGCCAGCACATGGCCATGGTTTGTTATCGCCTTTACAGGGTGGGGCTTGGAAGAGGTCTTCGTGTGGATGGTGTGACTTTTTCAAAAAGCGGATCACTGGCGCACTGGCGAGTGTACAGTTCAAGGTATGTCACCAGTTGTTCCTTTCTCTACTTGGAGACACATGGGCCCTGGCCGTGGTTCGAGCAGGGCCCATAATCACCGGGCCAGCTGTGACCTGCTTAGGAAGAGATGCAGAGCATATGCAGCAACATGCTATACAAATCAATTTGAATGCAACACAGAATAGGATCAATGGATCCAGTGCAAAATGTTCGCCGCGTAACCAATGCAGAAACCCTTCAGCATTCCTACTGCAGCTTCCTGAGCTCTGTGTGCACGCAGCATCTTGGATGTTGTATAGGTAAACAAGGATTGAATTCATGTTGGAACTGCAACATTCAAAGGTGGCTTGGTGCAGATTGTACATAAATACCGAATTTCTGGAGAAACTTAGTGGATTCGATATCCATCCGTTGACAGCATAAGTCCCATCCGAAAGCCCATCCTGTTGGTCTGTGGCTGCCAAAAGTTCACCGTTCAGAGAGTCCGAAACAAAAAAGAAACGCAGCAAACGATGCCGAGTTTTGCAATTAGATATTATGAGCCAATCATTCAATCAGTGCATTATCTTCTCTTGCTATGGTTCTGGTGGTCCCTCTTGCTTTGCAATCATGTGCATGGACTTAGAGTCTCTCCACATCCATCCAACTCCGCAGCCTTCACACTCGTGATGTCAGGTCGTGAGGTCAGCCTTGCAATTCGGGTGCCGATGAAATGGTGGAAACGATGGCCCAATTGGTGCATTTCTCCATCGTCCGGATTTGTCACCAGTTCTGTCCCCGTTAAATCTGTATATCTGCCCCTATCTACACTCATCCAGCCGCTGCTTATCTCGAGGTACTTACTCCCACAGTCTGCTTGCAAATTCACTTTGTCAAAGGTAAAGGAAGGAGTCGTCAGCATTCCTTGCAGGCGTACAAAGGCCCCAAATCAACAACTGCGCTTGGCACAGTTTCACCTCTGATAGCATTCTCACGCATTAATTCACATGTGTTAAAAGCAGCCTTGTGGGCATTTGGAAAACGAGGTTGCTCCGCCGCGCAGTGGGCAAGGAAGAAAGCACTTCCTGCACAGAGAGCAAACACTCTTTTTTATGAAAACCGACAGTAGTGCCAGCATTGCACTGAGTCACAAGTCACTTTTGCAAACACAAGGAAGAAAACGACTCACAAGAAAGGAAGTCCAGGAGACATGAGTAAGTCGCAGCAGGAGTGGCAGCAGTAGCGGTGGTAGTAGTGGTGGTAGTAGTGGTAGGTAGTAGTGGTAGGTAGTAGTGGTAGGAGTGGGCGATTGTCTAGCTCAATGCCTCAACATGCCTCCCAAATGCTCACCAAACCAGAAGAGTGGTGATGCTTCGCTATACAAACAAACCTGCAAAGAAATCTAAATTCAGCCCACCTCTTCCGACAAGGGATCTGCTTGCTTTGCTCCAGGGCGGACTAACCGCCAGGCACCTCGTGACATGGTCATTTGAGGCAGCTTGCACTTGTGATCTATGGGAATCTAGGGCAACATTGCCTCTACCGAGACCACAACATTCTGAGATCCTGCTAACAAACCACCAGCATTGCCGACAAGACCTCCATCAAGCTTTATCACACCAGACCTCCCACCAGCTGCTCTGAACTGGCTTGCTCCAAGACCTTGAGAGGAGATGGCTGGAGGGATATGGAGCAAGTGAAGAAACTCAAAAAGAAACGACTCAAACGGTGAAAACTGCCCATCAATTCAATGCTTCAAAACTTTGTGTGCAAAAAGAAACTATATAGGTCCAAAGGTCCAGTCAGTCTACAGAAAGAAAGTCACCAACAAAATTGGAGCAATCAAAGTAAAATGCTTCGGGTGCCAATTGGAGCGCTTTCAAGGGCCACACCTGTCGCCAACTACGGCAGTGCTCTGCTAAAGCACTCTGAGGCTGCTTGGGGTGCTGCAGTCGTTCCTCGATCCGCACAACGATAAAAACCCGGAGAAGAACCGCAACATGCACCAGTCAGTTCAGCTGGCCGCTGGGTGATGCCAAATCACCTATATAAACCTTCCTGTAACCCGTTTCGAGCTGGTTTTCTCCCTGTCTGCCGACAGACTGTGAAGGGAAGGCCACAATTGTTCACCTATTGATGTTGTTTAACAATCAAATGGACGAGCCTCATGTGAAGAAAAAGGCCAGAACCACATGTCACATGTGCTTTAGTGTATATATATATATATATTAAAGGCTTCAAGACACATGTAACAAAAACGCATGGATACTTATTTGGATACTTGCATCTATTTCTAACCAAAATGTTGTTACTATTCCCTGACATCTCGTTGAAGCAAAAGATCAGAATTCTCAAAATCCAAGTCTTACAGCTCACCAGGCTCAAACCCATGCAATTTGCTATTTCAAGCGGCCAAAGGGTTTTCACGAGCTTCTTTCACGAGCATTTGCGAGATGACGTCTCAAGTGGTCGAGCAAGGATGACCTCCTATCCAGCTTCTCCCGAATCCAAACCTCCGCATCTTGATTCGAACATCCAGTTTTATCCGGTTCCTCACAAGTCTTCCACTGACCAAGTGACGCTCACTGTGAGCACAAGACGGACATGTCTGAGACCCACACCAGCAATCCCAAGTGAATGCGCAGCGCATCTGCAGCCATGAGCTCTGCCTTGCAAAAATTCTGAAGGGAGATGTGGCAAAGAATAATCTATCGGAAGTCGTTCATTGGCGGGCTACATTCCTGCTGCAACGCTGATTGTCCTGAGTCACTCCACAATGTGTGTTTTTTGATCTCTTTGCTTCAAGACAAAATAGAGGTATATAATACATGTCACTCTGCACAGGAAGTGTAGCCTTTACAAGACCGAGAGCGTAAAGGGGCAAAGCAAAAGAGGAAACACGGCCACTTTTCATAGCATCATCCTGTGACAGCTGGTAGCAAGGCTCAGGTCGCGAGCAGACATCGCTGGCCTGTAGCTGAGGATTGCTGCTGATTCCTTCGAGCCTGACAGGCATCACAACATCGGTGAAGCACAACTGGCATTGAGGTGCAAAAAGCAGCTGAGGTTCCACTTCTGGTGCTAGCGTTCTGACTACTATCACTATCCCTGATCACACTGCCCAGTCATACTAGTTAGGTCCTCAAAAACATGTCAAGCCTCCTACGGCAGAAAGCTACACTACACTACACTACACTACTCACCACGAATGACACTAATTACACACAGGCAGAAAGCTCAGGCCTTCTATCCCCTTTCCTCGACCCGATCGTCGGACCGGCGTCGGAAGCGGCGTGCCTCAAGAGCTCTGCGCGGCCGCTCACCAGGCCAGAAAGAAGCAAGGCCAGGTCTAGCAAATCCTTGGCGAGAGAAAAACCGAAGCGTCGAAGAAAGCGAGAAAGACTCAGATGGGCCAACTGACAACGTGTCAAGCTGTGTCATTGGTCTCTATTGGATGATTGTAGAGATCAAAGTTGCAGGGAGACTGGGGGACTTCTTATGTACAAGCCTCGAGAACTTGATGAACAATGTTGACAAAACAAGTGAAGACACCGAGCCTTCTGGTGTGAAGCCTTTGGATCCAAGGCCGCCTGGCAGTCTTTCTGCATTCGATTCCATCAGTCCAGCAAACATGTAAAGTTGGGCAAATGAATGACGTCTTCCAACCCCTCTCTGCCAGGTTCCCTAGTTAACAAAGGGTCAGCCAGCTATCCTTCATATCTACTTTCGCCCTTTCAGCAACCCAGTGGCCTCTTCAAGCCAAGCAAGCAGTCTCTTCAATGTGCCCAGACCTGATATCAAACATCAGTGATATCAGGACTCAACGTCCCAAGCATCCACAGAGCTCTTGCAGGTGTAATCCCTGGGCCATTTCCCAGCGTTCAACCAACCATTCATTGGTCCATTGTCTTCATTCTTGGCAGCTCAGCCGAATGCGGTGGCCGAATGAGGTTGCCTAATGTCTCTTCATCAATATGTACTGTAGATCAAGTTCGCACTGCATGCATGGTTCTCATAGACCAGAAATGTAGTGTGCTAGTGAAGACATGTCAGAGACTATCTGACACGTTGCTCCCTTCATCCAATTCTTCCACTCAAAGGCACTTCACAAGCTTTGGGATGGCCTTTTCAAGATCATAATTAGATGTAAGGGTGGGGAAGTTGCATCTTATGAACGGCATGCATCTGGATCTCCAGGGCTGTTGACCCAAAAACCGAAATATGGTGGCTTGGCACAGGTGTCATTGGTGCTACTTTGCACCTCTACTTCATGAAATTCCATCTCAACAGCTTCGCTTTCCCACTTCGCCTTGTGGCATCTTTTCTTCCGCGGTCTCCGAGTCGCTCTCAGCATCATCTGCAGTCGGTGACCATGCGACTGTTGCCCAAGAACTACAATTTCGCAAGCTTCTGTTTGTCTGGCGAACATGACCCTCTGCAGGAAAGAGACTCAGACAAAAATCGTGGAAAGCGGAAGTGAGGTTGGCGAAGGAAGGACTGTCCAAATGAATGCAGTGGACAAGACTTGACCTGGACCAAGAGAGAAAGGAATGCACACAGCTTGCTGTCGTGATAGAAGCGAAGGGCGAAGGGACAACGTGGAAAAGCGAGAGGACGGTCATGACGATGTACGCCACATGAGGCGTCTTAGGATGCCTTGAAATGAAGCATAAGCGAAACACATGCACGATTCATGATGAAAATGACATCAACACCATGGACCATGGTGTTTGCCTTAGGAGACATTCCACATTCTCGGAGTTGAGTGTTTGTTGTAGCTGTAGATGTTGCAGGTTGCAGAGTTCTCCCTTTGAGCAGGCCTGTTGCCTTTCTTGGGTTTATTGGGTTTCTACCTCCACAGTGTCATCTCTCTACGAAGAAGAGGGGAGTCATCACTGGAGCTGTATCTGTGGAATACGTCCCTCACTCGGTTGCTCATTCACTCATTCACTCACCCAGTCACACTCACTCTCTCACTCTTTCACTCCCTCACTCTCTCCATTCTCCATCTTTCTCTATCTACTGTATTCATGTGCAAATATATATATATATATATCCTTTATCTCTTGTCCCTTCAATCCCAAAAAGCTTTTCACGGTGCCATGGATGGTGGCTCCGGTGAGGGGGCCCATGTCCGTCCCAAACACGTCCGTCCCGGCCTGAGCGGCCTGGCAAGAAAGGGGAAGTCTGCATGGAACACACCGGTCGATCATGACCGTCAGCCCCACCGGACTTCAGAGAATCCCTCTGTGCTAACCCGCCTAAACCAGCCACCAGCAATCCAAAGAGCGACTCCAAGGAATCCAGGTGCCGCCTGACATCACATCCAGCTTTGCCGCTTTTAAAAGGACCACTTAGACTTAGCAAGATGGAGAGCGGACAGTGGGGCCTAGACTCAGACACGTCCTTCCTATTTTTTTCTATCCAAATCAGCCCTCGCTTGAAGAGGCGTCAACTAACACACTCTGAGAGTGAAATTATATATGTTGGTCAGCTTATTGGGGAAAAATAGTGTACAAAATAATCACTTCAAAGTCTACAACTCTTGGTCACTGCTTGGGGGCCTTAGCACGGCGCTGCGGCGATCATCTACCTCTTTGGCTGCCAGCACGGCCACTCCCCAAGGATACTTGACGTGGACGAAGCCTCTCTCGTCCTTTCCAGGGCATCCAATGTGAATGGCTGGGCAAGTGGCTCAGGCCGCTTGAGGCTTCCAGAGTTGCGACTGATGTGCATACTATATATATATATATATGTTTGTATATATTGTATATTATATATATATACACATCCTATGGTTCCATCTTTCCTAATCCACTTCTGCATCTGACAAGAGGACACTTTCTATCTGATTCAACTTGCTGTGGCTTGCAAGAGCACTCCTGGCATTCCCACACACCAACACCTCAACGCTTCTTTTGAAGAGGTTCAAAAGAGCCTACAAGACTCATCTCATCCAGCAACGAAAACATACTCACGCGAAGCCCCAAACAGGGAATGCAAGAAAGAGTGCCCAGCAAAATGATGGAATCCAGCAATGGATCATCCCGTGAGCAGGAGAAAGATGCCAGCAACAGGCGGAGCTCTACAAAGATGGTCCGCAGGTTGCTCTGTGGTCCACCACCACCAGCAGCACCAGCAGCAGCGCCGCCACCAGGAGCAGGAGCCGGAGCAGGAGAGCGAGCAGGAGAGCAACAGAGCGCAGCAACACAGCGGTACGACTGCACCAAAGACCTGCCGCGCTGCAGCGGTACGTCCATTTTCACTTCTGGGAACGCCTGTCTATGACAAACTGGGTAGCTGGGTGCGCGCTGCGCGCGTGTGGTTCCCACAAAAGTAGACCAAAAACGCCTAGCTTCGCGAAACAGAGCGAAGAAAGAAGAGCAGCATCTAGCAGTGGGCCACCCCCAACATGAAGAAACGCCAGAAAGCAGGTGAATGAACCTTCTTGCTACAGCAAGGAGAACTCAGGTGGTCTGTTGCTACCTTGCATGACCTGTTCTTCAAAATCCTTTGCTGTGTTTGATGCCAAGACGAATGGAGGAGAATCCCAAAGCAGGTTGCCAAGGACAGGTGCGAATTGACCCTGCTCGTGATGGTACCCTGTTTCGCTTGCATCCTATTGCACCGCGGCCTGGTGCTGAACAGAAACTTAACACATGTAGGAAAGAATACATCGCAGAATTAAACGATAAACATTCTCAGGGAAGCCTTGCAAAGTGTGCAGAGTAGCCATGCAATCTCTGATTCTGAAAGCTTTTGCAGACTACGAACTGCATCATTTCTGGGTTTGAAGCTTCTCCGATTCGTTTGCTTCCCATGTTCATTCAGCCCTTGGCCAAAGGGAGTTGCGATCGCCCCCTCCACCTGGATCCAACAAGCTCTAGCTCTAGGACCAGAGACTGAAGAGTGGCCGGCTGCAGCCCTGCTTGTCTTGCTAAAGGCGCAATCAGAAAGCAGAGCGCTTTTTTTCTCCTGTTTCTTCAAAGTTAAAGTTCAGTTCGAAATTTGCATGCTATGTAGAAGATTCAACGGCACACTGTCGCCGCTTCTGCCTCCTTGCAAATCCCTCCAAGTGTGGGAGAAGTACGTTTGTGCAGCTAGCACCTACAAAACAGTATGGACGGAACTCAGACTGGAATGTCTTTCACGATCAAAATACATGATCTGATACAGCAAGGAGGCAGCTCCAAAAAGCCTTGTCTCTGGAACGGTTTTTGCCAAGGCGATTGTAGCTCCAAGAGCTTAAGTTCAATTAACTGCGCTGGTCTAGAGCCCTCCCGAGACCTATGTAGGACATGATCCCTCTGAACAAGTCTCGACCCAAATCACGCAGGCTCAACTAGCGCACAGCTGCAAAACATTGGGTGGGGCGGCTTTGCTTCTGCATGCGAGACAATATATGGAACACCTACAACCTCAGATGTGGACTTGAGTCCCTCGATGGCATATGCAGAAACTGGACCGTAGCAGGCGGGTCCTAAGTCAAGTTGGACACGCACCTACCATTCCACACAACTCCGCTTGCAGCATACCATTAAAGTTCGTATGCATTTTGCACACAGACCGGACAACTCAGTGCCGCTACTTGGTTTCCCGGTGTCTCACTCGGTTTCGCTTTCCTTCGATCCTTCCCACTCGCTGGCCGTTGGACGAGTCTAACAAGCTCTGGACTCTTTCGACCTCTAAATCCAAAACAACTTGCGGTGAGGTTGCAGCCGTTGCTGCGACATGCCGTCCAAGATCGCTTGGATCACAAATCGAGCATAGGGCTGGCGACGAGCTTCCCCTTGCAAGTATGCGTGCACATCCAGATCATCTGGGTTGTGTGTCCAGATGTAGTGAGAAAGCCGATCCCTGATCTGCCTGCGTCTGGCTTTTCTGGGGCGTGTGAACTCGATGTCTTCATGATTCCGGTGGCAGAATCCGCAGTGTTTCCCTTCCACGCATCCAAAATTGGAATGGAAAAGGACGCAACGCTCCTCACATCGACACACATGCTGTGCAGTGCTGGAACCAGGCGACTGTGACATATTCGGAGTAGGAAAAAGCACCGCGTCCAAGTTGATAATCGTCGACGTCGAGGCCCTGGACATCCAAGCACCTGGAGCTTCCCTGATAGACACAGGCAGCAAACCACGTCCTAGTATCCGCAACCTCGGTACAACCTTTGCTTCTAGTACTCTAGACTGAGCCAAGAAGGGTGCGGGCATGGTCTGCACCATTCCGATGCGTCTTTCTAGACCGTGCTTTTTGTGCTTTCACCTTTGAACTCGCTCAAGCTCACCCTGTCCGAGTCTCTACCAAATACCCCCCCTTCTCCTATCCTTCCGACAACATTCAATGCCTGCTTCTTTGCTCATCCAAATACGCCGTGCCTCATGTAAGAGATCGGCCAGAACCTCTGGGCTGATGGAGGATGAGCCTAGCACAGGAACGAAGCTGATCAGCTTAAACCAACTCCCCAAAAGGGCGAACGAAGCTGATTCCGCTATTGATTGATCAGCTCAGCATCTAAAGAAACTTTGCTCACCGCCCATACCGCGATCATGATTCCATCGCCAAAACCACGATCTGGTCCGCCTGCTTGCTGAGGATGCCTAGTGCTGCCCAGGTCAACAAGTCCAAATCATACTTCAAGAAACTTCCATCACACCAGCCTCGACCCCAAAGACCCCAGCCCAGCCCAGCATCCAGACGTGGGAGGCAGGGGGAGGCAAGGGGAGACAAAGCAAAATCATCTCAGCCCAGCATCCAGACATGCCATGGGAGACAAGGGGAGACAAGGGGAGACGAAGGCCAGCATCGTTTCTATGCAAGAATTGAGAATCCCTCACAGCAAAGCTGTTTGGGGAAAAAAGTCAATAGGAGCAGGGACGCTACTAGGGGCTCCTGGCCTCATATTACTAGTAACAAGAAGCTACGAACGGAGCATTTCGGGCATCGCTACGAACGGAGCAAGTGACTCTAATCCTGAGGGGTCCAATTTCACCCGCGGATGACTGACTGAATAGAGATCCGACATGCATTGTTCGTGCATCCCGACATCCCTGGATTCTTCTTAAGTAGAGACGTTGATGCACGCGGTGAAAACACGCTGGTCACCTCAAGCCACCGCTATGGAGCTGTGATTCTGTCCATCGTGACGTGGAAGAGTATCCCATCTACTCCCTGAAACGCGCATGTCAATCAGAGGAGTCACAGCTGCAGCCAGGGCACTCCACATGGCCAACCCGGCCTTGGCATGCAGCTCCATGGTGCTGGACAGACAATGCAGAGAAAGTCCCTGAATGTCCCTGAAACATGCAAAAGTAATAAGGCTGATGCCCCAGCTCTGCTTCGACCTGAGCACTTGCTCAAAATCTTGCCTTCAACTCATGCTACTCTCGCCTTTGCTCTTGGAATATATAACCCCTTGCTGGTTGAAAGGACAATGATGTTTCTCTTTTTTGCACATTCAGTTTGGTAAAAGCTCAGAGTTCCTCGAGTGACTCGAGTGCCCCATCGATCAGCCGCGCCTGGACCGATCACCATGCTTTGGCCCCAAGAAGGCTGCCTTGCACCAAAAAACGCCTGGGCCTACGCCTGGAAAACCCGGATGACAGATCACCAAAAGAACTAGATTTGGCTGTTGAAACAATCTTCCAGACTCCTTCAAACACTTCACTTCACTTTCTCTCTCCAGTCCGGTCATTTCATCTGAGAGCCAGCTAACTTCTGTGGGATGGCAGGACCCCGGCCGCCGTACCTCCCCATCTCGGTAAGCCGGGAGTCAAGGAGTGCTTCTACATCCACAGCCAACACTTGTTAAAGCAGAGTCCAGCTACTAATTGCGATGGCCTTCACCCTAGTAGCGATGGCCTCCACCCTGGTAGCGATGGCCTTCACCCTAGTAGCGATGGCCTCCACCCTAGTAGCGATGGCCTTCACCCTAGTAGCGATGGCCTCCACCCTAGTAGCGATGGCCTCCACCCCAGTAGCGATGGCCTCCACCCTGCTAGCGATGACCTCCACCCTATAATCCACATCGTGTTGTTGGGCACTTTTCAAAAATCTGCTGCAGTCGCCCAGCACCTGCTAGGCTCATGATATCCCTCCAAGCTCTGCGGAGCTCTAGCATGCCACGTTCGCTGACGAGCTCTCCATCAATCACAAGAGTCCACGTACGCTTAGAGACTCCAGCAATCAGAATTCAGGAGAAGGGCCAGAAGCACATCATAGTTAGATCGAAACACTACAACATACTACAACTATCACCTTAAGATCTAGTTGAAAAATGTGGCAGCGCAAAAAGGCTTAGCATCGTAGCTGGGAGCAAAAAGGCGTGCACCTCCAGTCTCGACGGCCTGGCACTCTGACGGTTGAACTCTGTCGGTTGAGATGGTGATTTTGAGCCACACATCGACAAGAACGGAGTCATCGACTGCTGTTGCCGGATAATCAGAATCACAGAAACCGATCATTGAAAAACACTCTCCACCACCAAAACCTAGCCGGATCGTCAGAATTTGGCTCGGCTTCTTGTCATATACCAGAATTCTCGGCAACATGAATATCCGCATCGCATGACCCTTCCCTGCAAGAAGGACCCAATGTAACGCAACTGGGTCATTCAATTTGCTGCAGAAACACTCGAGACAGACACGGAGACTTCTCATGACAGACTGGGTGCTGAAACTTTGGTTCTGCGCCCTGGAGAGGACTGGGACTCCTCATATTTGGCTTGACTAGACCTTTGCAGGATCTGAAATATTCGTATTTGATACGAGAGGACATGAGGACTGGGACTATGAAAGGACTGGGACTCCTCATATGATCTGAAAGACTTTCAGGAACCTACTAGCGATGGCCTCCATATTCTTCCAAATCACCCAGCCTTGGCCTTGGCTTTACCCTCGCGAGGGCTAGGTGGCGGTGCTGCACCACCCCTAGGCACAGAAATGGCCAAGCCAGGTGGCAAGTCTTGGGAGTTCTCACATTGGTGAATGGCTTGCTATGTCCAAAACTGTTAATTAAGTTCTTCAGAAATCAGCTCAGTTGGCAAACTTCAAGAAAGTTATATATGCTGTTATACTAAACAACCCCAAATCTTGGAACCCGTTATTCTCTTGCCGGTGGATAGAATGATTCAAAATTATGTGTCACCACATCACCTTATGATGCAAACGGTGCAAGTGAGGGCCGCACGCTTCCATTGGGCCCAAGTGGAAAGGCTTCTGAAATCCACTGCATTAAGTTAACGTGAGTCTGCAAGCTGACAGAGGCTAATCTTCCAAACACGTTGTTCCTCGGATTACTCTTGCATTTGCCTGGAAAAGAGAAGTTAGAAAAACCAGGTGTTGCAAAGGTCAGGGATACGTGCAAGAACTGTGTGTCCACAAGCCATGTTTTGTCCACTTTGGTTTCATGGACTCGTCGTTCTTCATCATGCAACTGCGCAGTTCGGAGGTGCAACGAAGCAGTTCTCCAAGCAATGCCTTGACACTTTGGAGAATGACAATACCTCCGAAAGGGGGTTGGCACGTCATCTGCATCATGAGGCAAGCCGGAGACGTGCAGCTCGATTACCTGGAGTATGGCTGGGTTGGAGCTCTGAGTTTGACCTTTGTCAAGTTTTTTGGCTGATGGGGTCAACAAACTCCATGAAATCTCTGTCCTAGCACTTCCGGATGCCACAGCCAGGAGGATTACTCTGTTTGTTGTGGACAATCCTGAAGATCCCATGAAAGGCTGGGTTTGGACATGTACGAGACAAAATGTGGAGCTGCATTGAGCGGCATGAAACGCCTCCCATTCCTTGATGTTGCTGGCATTCTTGTAGAAGTCGTCAGACTGGAGGGTAGCTTTCAGATGCCCCTGTCCAACATTACACTGCATGGACCAAAGTCAATGCACATTCAGCAGGAACTTGGCACAGTTGCTTGCAGCATGACTGACAATTGCAGCCACCACCCACTTGATTTCACGTGCCTGCTGCAGCTGACGAGTGCTCATGCCATCACTGTACTTGATTTTCTCAGAGTTGTCGTGAGAGACCTCGGGCAGAATCCATCCTTCGCAGCCCAACTCCACCCAGTTCCAATAGAATGTTGTCTGTACCTTGCAAATCAAAATATTCTGAGCTTTTTGGGAGGAGTCTTCAGACTTTTGGTTGCCAAAAAAAAACGAAAACTCTCCCACCTCCCTTTTCTCGGCTCTGCCCCATTGGGCTTCCCAGCCGCTTCCAACTTACTAGGGCTCTTCCAGCTGCCATTCTCCTCGCCGAAGATCCGGGCCTGAACAGCTTTCTCCAAGCTCAAAAGGATGTCGTTGGAGTCCAAAAACTCCAAGAGAATAGTAGAAGTAATACTCCCTGATACAGTCATGGTCACATGAATGGCCTATATCGCCCCCGGAGATTGGAGGACGAATTCAATCCGAAAACCAAAACAGGTGTATCTTACGATGCTTTTCACTTCACAAGACCCTGATTTCAGGGACCGTTCGACGCTGGACGCAGGACGCAGGACGTTCGACGCGCCTGATGGAGCTCTTCGCTCCGGCGCACTTGTGGCGTAGCGTCCTGGAAGAAACCGGCTGAAAGCTCCCGCTGCGCCATGAAAAAAGAATATATATACTAAAAAGACCCCATATCGTATGAATGGCCATATCATTTTTGGGCAAACAGCACTGGAACATCTGGAACATTCGCGAGAAACACTCTTTGATGCAGTTTTCTTGGGTGTCCATCTTAAGAAAGATCGCATTGGATGACACTGGGCCTGCCCTTTGCGGGCCCCTGGCAGCAGCTCAGTTCGGCAGTCGCTCCAATCCTGGAACTGCAGGCACAACAAATGAAAGCCACTTCAAACAACCGTCTTAATTCACCAAAGTCTTGGTGGCTCCCTGTTACTCTAGTCGTACGAGTAGCACACTGAACATGTTCAACGGTCCTGATGAACAATGAGGTGCTCCTCATGGGAAGTTCGATTCTTTCCCCTTCGAGCTGACAACATAGCCTGCATCACAGCAAACTCAACTGCAACAACATGCCCTCATGTGACAGATAACAATGGCTCAAGGCTGTACAGTCTGAAACCAAAAGCCTGGGCATCTTGCTGGCGGTTAGAGGCTGAATGCTAGAAATCCCGTGGTCTTTGCCCTTCATGTTCACTTTCGTAGCCCAAACAGGTTTCAAAACATGTTCAACATACCAAAAGCCCCTAGATCATGCCGTCCTGCTGCAAACACATTTGTAAAAGGTAGTGGCCAATTAAGCTGGAGCATCTACCGTGGAAGTTCGCACTCGTCTGGGGAAAGTCAAGTATGATGAAGGGTTACAAGCGTGCAATGAATATCTTGTGGACGTTTATCTTGGGCTGATTGTGCATGAGTTTGGCATCCTGCGATGCTCAACTTTGCCTTAGCCTGATTTTGGTCGTCCGAAGCCCCTCTAGCTTCACTGGCACATTGAGCCAAAGTCAATCAGCCCGCACGCCTCTTGGTTGTCGTAGGCAGCGGAGCGGCCAAACAAGTCACTGGGCAGCGAAGTGCATGTCGGCAGGAAGGTGATTGGGGTGCAGATGGGTCAAAACCAGGTCAGGATACCTTGGTTGACCTATCTGGACCAGGGCTCCAGGTTGAACGACCCACCCCTAAATCAGTTTGTTTGGCTGGGCAGGTCATTGACAGGTCAAAGTCTCTTGAAGTGATGATGCCGTCTACATCGAACAAAACAGTTGCTCTTAACCATGCCCGCAATTCGCACCCAACCTTGCCTGTAGAAGGCATTTGCCCGGCGCTTGAGAACACTTTCTTCCTCCTATCTTGGCGGTGTCTGGGGAAGAACAAGCCGGACAACCACCATTCATCTTGGAGAGACTTCATGCTTGATGCAAGACGTCTTGGTGGGACTACTCAGTAACAATACACTCCTCCTTCTTTTCTTGCATTTTTTGCGCTGCATGCATCTTGCGGACCTCCAGTCGAGAAGAAGGGGTCTATATATAAATTGTCTAAATCTCTCTCCTTCTTTCCCTCACTGCTGTCTCTCACTCTCTCCACAGCCACAGATCGCAACAGTTCATGAAAACTTCAGACACCATCTAAACTGCTTGCTTTCTGTTGCTTTCAAGCCGCCTCTGGCGATTGATATTCAAAGACCTGGGAACATTTCTGCTCGTAGGCACGATCGCTGTGAGTCTTGCTGTCCTGGCATCTTTTTTGGCAAGAAAGACCCCTGTTTGGAAGAGGAACAAACTTGGAA